TGTTTTTCCTTCGTTCGATTTATCAAATGAACCTGAATCTATATTTGCCAGCCATTCTGACTCTTCGTCGTCGGAAATATGATTCGAATTGTCCGTCACTTTTTTTTTTTTGCGTAACTACAATCCAATTCTTCGCTTGCACGATGCGAGAAAACCTGTTTAAGCGGTACTACTATAGACGAGTACAAATACCGCGTGATATTTTTACTCGTCTATGGCGTTATTTGTACTCGTCTAGGTGTAGTTGGATAATAATGTGGCATATTTTGCACGTTCTCGTGACCTTATTAGGTATTGGAATAAGAAGCTGTAATATTTCAAATCAATAATAGTCGTTGCATGCAAAAAGACCAAGGGACAGTTCGTTTCCGGCTGAACGAAGAAAAAAGTCATGACGCCTGAGTCTGAAAGACTGGGCAATTAAAAGCTTGTCTGAAAAAATGACATTAAATTGCATTTTTGTTGGGCACTGGGTGAAAACCAGTCTCTCGTAGAAAACGCCCAGTTGTTCAGGTCGAGTTTGAAACTAACGCCGTTGGTTTATCATCGAAAGAATTCGGTGACATTGATTAAGAGAAACTACACAAGGGGAGGCTACATTTTTACAAGATAAACAAACAGTGACGAGGCACGATCAATTTTCCTGAACTTAAAGTTCAACTGTTATATTAACAACATATTTGGAAAAGCAAAAGCGTAGTCAAATTCGGGAATCTTTGTATTTATATTGATTGAAAACGAAGATGGTGGATTTTTTCACGTTACGCGACCAATACTGTGACAATGCAGGACCTATCTTCTTAAAGACTGGCGGTAATTGAAAGTTGTAATTTAATCGAAAATAATCGAACAGTTATCTAAATTTAGACAGGTTTCTTTGTTCCATGTTTCTCCGATACCACTGGCTAATTTTCAACAGGTTAAGATGTCCTTTTTTACCTTATTGATTTTTCTACCCTTCTTGATCAACTTGCCGTTTATCACCTCGTGCGTTTATCACTATTCCTGTATCACAACAGTAGTTTAGATCTCAGTAGTTTTACATCTTATCAGTTATAAGTTACCAAATTGCAATGTATAAATTATAAATTGTTAACAGGTTTTGCACGACTCATCTCTTCAGCCTCGCCGTAAAAGGAAATAGGGAGCTTTAGCAACGACCACGGCGACGGCAACGAGAACGGCAGAAAACAATAGGCTTAATGAGCAAAAACAATCGCTCTGCACGTGAGTTTAACATTTTGGTACATTTCTTTGCCGTTCTCGGCAAATCAACAACGTGAAATTCCCAAATTTCAGGTTTTCTCGAGAACGTGAGCGCATGACGGTTAATTTTTCTTTTTTTTGTCTTACTTTAACGCCGTTCGTAGTGATATAGTCCCTGAATAGTTCGCCAGCATTTTCCAAGTGAAACACATCGGAATAACCTCGAAAGAGTTACAAAAACGAAAAGTTAGATTTTGACACGACGTTTTCGTTACCGTCGCCGTCGTCGTTGCTAAAGCTCACTAATATATCAGTCAAAAAACGACTTGTTTCTTTGATTTCCCATCCTCTTGTAAAAGTTTTTACTTGAGTATATCTCATCGCATACCCTTCTTTTTTTTTTTATTGTTGCCTCCTGTTCTTCGTTATTGCACTTGCCTTGTTTCGAAACCAAAACAAAAATAAAAATACAAACCATACCGCCGACAGATATTGGCTACGTAAGTGATAAGAAAAAGGCCACAAAACGGAAAATTACGAAAATGCAGGGTCATTCACAGCTCCTGTTCCAGGCTCAGTGAAGGCAAGGCCGATCTTTGACAAGGAAAATGGCTGTCGTTCATTTGTGTATTTTAGCGCTGTTTGTGGCTTCCACAAAAAGCACCAGCATGTATAATATGTATTCCAACATGATCATGCTTGATGGGAAAGGAAATTACAATGTTTCCTACAACTACAACGAGTCCGCAGACACACTGCAGTTTATGGTACAAGTGAGAACCGCAGGTTGGGTTGGTTTCGGTGTCGCTGAAGTGGCTCCAAATGGAATGATGTATTATGATGTGGCAATAGGAGGGGTAACAAATAACGGAACGAGCTATCTGCAGGTAGGTTGGAATGATAAAATTTAAACGAGGAAAAAATAAAGGAAAACAAGACGCGAGATTCGCTTTTATATTTCATTTCAAATATTTTGATTGATGTCGTTCATTTTTCCTTTAAAGTCAAATTAAAGTGAGGAACTTCAAGTAGCTTACAAAATTTAGTAAAGATATGGTAATTGTTTATAAAAAACAGTTTCACCATACCATTTGAGTGGTAGTATACTAAAATATTGTTATTTGACATTTCTTGTCTTATATCACTGGTGCTCCACTCCGTTGATTTCTTAGCCTCAGCGTTGTTACAGTCAAAGTTTGGATTCGATAGAAATTGAAGATTTTTACGGTATTTGAAAAATTCATACCTTTTTTTGTCGGTAGAAAGATTTAATTTAAAATTCTTACTTTGCGTGTGTCGCAAGGCGTAAGTTATTCAAATTACAATGATTCCGTGAAATCGCCTCGGGCATTAAATATTCATTTCAGCACAAGTAGTTAGAGACCCGAATAATGAGGCCAGACGAAAGCACTTAATCTTTGCTGATCGCTCGAACATTATCGAATTAGGTGTCTTGTTCATCATCAGAAACGTGAGGGGACCGTTTTTGGCATTCAAAGCCTGTTTTTTTTTTTTGTTCTATTCAAGATTATCACGTTTCGGAAGACAACTTTTGGCGAGTAAGCGTAGAATATCAAGGAAGTGAGTGATATCTATTCACATTTCACATTATTGCACACGCTTGAAAGACTCTGGATTTTCGTAAAAACCAACACTCGTTATTTTACTGTACTTTTGAATGACTCTTGTTTCCGAGATATCTATAACCACCATTTTCATTATATATCCGACTTGTTATTAAAATGTTTAGAATATCGCCATGGCAACCTTCAAAATGCTTCTGCCGAGTCATCATACAGCTGCAATGACCAAACAAACGACGAAGTTGCGCATGAGCAGAGTGAGCAGTCTTGTTGTTTCAATGCAGGCCAGCAAAGAGAAAAATGATAGATAAAATATATCTCGCTTTATTGCCTGTTATCTCGTTTAAGAGTGATTACTTTATGTCCTCTGAATACTAAAATTTCAACTGGCTTGGAAGTTTCATTACTAAGTGTAATATATAGATTTGGTTTTGATAAGTAAATATTTTCGCACGAAACTCCGGCATAAAGAGTTTTTTCAACATTTTCAGTGATGAAATTTGTTAAAGGAGTAAACAGTGGTTCATTTTTCACAATTGTGTTTTCACATAGAAGAGAAATTTGAATTAAGATAACCCCTAGGGGGTTGTTGCGTCAAAAAGTTGTTTTTAGATATTCTGTTGATGAGCATAGCATATTTTTAGTTTTGTACAAAAAAAAAACCATAAGCGGAGTTTTTTAAATCCCTTCTTTGGCTATAGAACTTTTTACTGGTAATTCTCTACATAATTTTTATTTCGGTTTGATTTAAAGTTTTCAGACTTTCGACATTGACCATAGAGTTGAGCTGATTTGAAGCTGAGAGGACAATTTTACTGGCAATTATCTACATAATTTTTAGAATGAATGAATGAACTTTATTTAAGTGTTAGAGTATTTAGCTAAATCTAAGCTAATTGTGTACACTAAAGTTGTCAGACTTTTTAACTTCTATTTATCACTCGACACTGACCATAAAGTTGAGCTGATTTGAAGCTGAGAGGACAATTGTAAACTTTAAGCTTTATTTTAAAATTACACTTGCTGTAAATGAAAAAGAAAATTCGTGTGATGCTCAACATTTTACGATCTATGACCAAAACGTTTTAATCACCTTTGCAAGGTCATAATATTGTTCAATTATCGTTAGTTACTAATGTCCTCTGGTTTCGCTTAACTTAACACATAAAATACCTTGATCGAAATTGATGAAATGTTGAGTAAGTCATGCTTGACCTAAGGATGACAATAAAACGTGCACTGAAAAAAAAATGCAGAAAATGAAGGGCGCAAAAAGAAGCCAAACTTCGAAGGACAGAGGTCCAACACATAAACCGTACTTCCTAAATACCAGTTGTGGCACAGCCTCTTACGTGTGTGTGCTATAGCCAAACCTGCATCAAGTAAAATTTTCGTTTAGGGCTCATTCTCTACTAAAACGATCATTTTTGGTTAGCTCAATTGGGAGAGCGCCGGACTGCTGTGCGGGAGGTCGAGAGTTCAATACCGGCCGGACCAACACTCAGGGTCTTAAAATTAACTGAGAAGAATATGCTTCCTTTCTCAACATCAAGAAATGGTTAGATATTCTAGTCTTCTCGGATAGGGACGAATAAATGGAGGTCCCGTCTCCTGCAGGGTTAGGGGTAGGAGACGTTAATTTCCCACGCACGAGATTACTGTGTGATGGATGTCCTCCCCTGGGGTGGGATGGGTGGGAAAAGGTGAGGTCGTTACATGGACTAAAGCGGCTGCCAGAGGCGCCTGATAATGCTGACGTCCGATCTCAACCTTAGTAAAAATTATTGTAAGCGCATTGAGATTCTTAAATGCGTATTAAGAACGTTCATTATTATTATTATTATTATTATTATTATTATTATTTTTCAAAGATCTTATTCCATTAATTTGTGTGAATTACACACACTATATTCAGCGGTCACAGTAACCGCGAGAAACGAGCGAGAGAACGTGTCTATTTAAATTAAAAGTTTCCTCGAATGATATGTCACTCCCGAATTCTTCTAAGCACAGAATAAGCAGTCATGTTCAAGTTCGTTTAATACCCAGTTAGCTAAAAATAGTTGCTACATTGCAAGTTCTTCTTCCCCTAAAGTGACGCCACGTAACAAGAAAATCCTTAAGAAACCCTGGAAATGCAAGAAATCTGTCTTTTCAAAAAAAAAGTGTGAAATTTTTGCCTCTCTCATCACAAACCTTTTGTCATTCGGCTGTCCAAAACGTTAAATCCACCAATTTTTCACTTGTATAAATGATCGAAGATCGATGCTTGGTCGATTAAATGACAAAACATGAAGAGGCTTATGTTCTAAGTCTGTTATTAAACTGTTCACACTAAGCTGGATAAAATTGAAAACGGCACTCTCTCTTTAAAAACGGATCAAAACGGAACAAGAGTATCTTCAGTCCTCCGAAATAACGGGAAAAAAGTGTATTTGGTTCAAATTATAGAATGAATGGTAGGTCTAAACTCAGAAACAAAGTTTCATTTTTAAATTCATTTATTGGGGACGTAGTGTGAAATTTTCAGGACTTTCAAACTTAGAGATAAAGCTATACTCGGTAGCCTCACCCTTTTACCAATGATGTGGACCATCCGAGGGCTAAGTGAGAATATTTCAGACACTTCTACTAAGTATCATCAATTTTGGCCTCTGCATACTTCAAAATTGGAGACATTTGTCTGCTAATTGCAGAAATAAAACTACTTCAGAGTTCTTTGAAAAGAATTAGATACTCACCCAAACTGAGATTTTCAAGTTTTCGATTTCTTACGTAAACAGTCCTTTAACACTTTTCGTTAATTTCTACCATAATGAGCTTATCTTGATTTTCTATTTCCAAGCCGGAATTTCACCGAAGAAATCCGACCTAATTTTATCTTGAATACCTTGAATATCTACAAAGTAAATTGAACAACAGGTACGATCTTCATTTGTAAAGTGATATATCTCCTTCACTTCATTTCGTCCAGGACTACCTCACAGTTGGCCAGACACAACCACGACTAGATACCCAACAAGATTGGATGCTCATGAACGCTACGGAGGAGAATAACATCACAACGATAAAGTTTTACCGCATGAGAAACACCACTGATCTACAAAATGATACCGCTATTCCGGTAAGATTGTTTCTTACGATATTCTATACTAAACTTGTAACAATTTTAACTGGTCGTAAAATGACCTGGGCTTATGTCCTTCTCATAAAATTGTTGGAAGACTGCGCTTTTGTTGTTATTTTTTCATGAGATAAGTTTCTGATATTATTTCCAATTTGTCCCACGTACCAAAAACGATGAAGAAAAGCTCGAGGTGGTCTAGAGAAACAACAATACTCTTGCTATCGTGAATTAAAGTGCACAACATTATACACCGATCGAAACCCCCATGAAATCCAACGCAACCCAAGAACCTGGCATTCTTGCTCTGAAATAAAATAATATTTCAGCATCACTTCTATTTGTTCATTGGTTTTCATTTATATATTCTAGAAAGGAATGTCCATTTCTATTGTATGGGCATATCATCCCATGAGCGACAAGCTTCAACATCATGGCAGGGACTATAGAGGGGTTTACAATATCACCCTCATCCCGGTTATCACTCCAACGCCGACAATAATGATGGCACCATCCACAGCTGTAGTCCAGCCAGTGCTACATTCCGACCTGACTATGCTCGATGGCAAGGGAAACTACAATGTTTCCTACTTTTACAACGCAGCCTCAGACAAATTGGAGTTTATGGTGCAAGTGAGAACCACAGGTTGGGTTGGTTTCGGTGTTGCTTTAGTGGCTCCAAATATGATGAATTATTATGATGTGGCAATAGGAGGAGTAACAGATAACGGAACGAGCTATTTTCAGGTAAGTTGAACTGGCAAATTTTACCAACGATAATAACTAACATACACGAAAAAAACATTACTCACTTCTTATTGGCAGAAAACGAGACTAACAGTGCATTTTTCATGTAACGCCAGCGCAAAGTTGTAAAACGAGGGCAGACAACAAATAGCGCGCCTGCGCTGTAAAACTTTTGTCTGTCGACTTTCTGTGATGCTTTCTTCGTGTCAATTAATAACAAGTAACAACATGATTTGTCGTACAATTTGGTGTGACTAAGCACTTGTAAATTTTTCGAAGACTACAAATTGCACTGATTCGCCCGTTGTTGTCTTTGAAACATTTACTTGTGCTTATTAGCACCAAATTGCACTCGAAATCATGTTATTACATATAGTTACTGCATTGAAATGATAACATCCCTTGACTTGATTTCTTCCAGGACTATCTTACAGTTGGCCACGTGCAACCCCGACTGGATACCCAACAAGACTGGATGCTCATGAACGCCAGTGAAGAGAACAACGTGACGACGTTAAAATTTTACCGCATGCGAAACACCACTGACCTTCAAAATGATACCGCTATTCCGGTAAGAGTCCAACCAATTCTAATCGCCAACGATGATAGTGTTATTGATGGGAATAACAGGAAGATTAAGAGAACAATTCATATTAGCTCATCAAACTACTCGGAGATCCTATCAACCCGCTTTTTTATCAAATCACTTTCAATCACCACTGGAAATTGTGTCATTGGGGTCATAAAAGGAGGTTTAAAAAACACTTTCATTGTTCCTTATCAAAGTATACAAAGATCCTGGCTTTTCATGCTATTCTAGGTTTGCCGATGGAAATGTTCCCATTTCTCAATGTACCAACGAAATGGTGCAAACACTAAAAGTGATGGTTAAAAGAACAATTTCATATTCGCTCATCAAACTGCTCGGAGATCCTACCAGCTTGTCTTTTCATGCTATCCTGGCTATGCCGACACGGTGCTTTCAGGTCTCAGAGTACCAACAAAATGGTACAAACACTGAAAAGTAATGTCAGGCGAGAATATTAGCAAATATAGCCTTTATATCCATCTTTCGAAATATCACTACCAAGGAAACCACAACACTCCTTGAGGATTCAGTCTCTGTCGCGGGTTTGAAGGGTCTAATCTATAATTTGTTCCCCTGGTTTTTGCAGCACAAAGTGCTCCTGGTCAAACCTCTTTCAGGCACATTTATGTAATTGTGTGTCAGAGAACGGCTTCCATTCATTTATACATATTTAAGCAAAATAGAGATAAGTCTTATTTGATCTCGCTGCAATGCTTCATAATAAGAACGAGACAAGAAATTAAATCACAGTAGATTGTCCTTTTCTCGAAAAATAAATATTTCAATTATTTCTTCTGTTACTTCGATAAAGATAGCCTGCCCAAATGGGTATATTGGTTTTTATTTATTTATTCCAGAAAGGAATGCCAATTTATATCGTATGGGCATATCATCCCATGAGCGACAAGCTTCAAAAACATGGCAATGAATACAGAGGGTTTTACAACGTCATCCTCATCCCGGTTATCACTCCAACGCCGACAATAATGATGGTACCATCCACAGCTGTAGTCCAGCCAGTGCTACATTCCGACAACGTCACCCTCATCCCGGTTATCACTCCTACGACGACAATAATGATGGCACCATCCACAGCTGTAGTCCAGCCAGTGCTACATTCCGACCTGATTATGCTCGATGGCAAGGGAAACTACAATGTTTCCTACTATTATAA